TGACATGTAGTTTTAATTGTAATTATTCTATCTATTTTTGTTGATATTTTTTTATGTTACATACATATATCATGAAAAGAGGTTGTTGCGGGTTATAACTAATTTCATTTATTTAATAAATATCAACTGATGTTTGATGCCGAACCATGTAGCTTTAGTAAACCATTCATTTTATCATCACACACATTTAGGTTTCCGCTGAACAATCAGTAGTAAATTGACCATAACTTGCTCAATAAAAATCCAATTGATGAGAGGTTTAAATATTTAGAAACGAGAGAGAAAGCGCTTTAATTTGATATATTATACACTTAATTTGGATAACTGTAACCCCACTGTTGAATCATTCCTTTTATTATCACACACATTTTGGTTTCCACTAAACAATCAGTAGTAAATTGACCATAACTTTCTTAATAAAATTCTAATTGATGAGAGGTTTGAATCTTTTGAAACTAGACAGACAAGACTTTAATTTAATATATTATATGCTTAATTTGGATAACTATAGCCCACCTCTTAACCATTCCTTTTATCATTGCACACATTTCGGTTTCCACTAAATAGTCAATAGTAAATTGACCATAACTTGCTCAATAAAAATCCAATTGATGAGAGGTTTGAATCTTTAGAAACTAGAAAGATATGGCTTTAATTTGATATGCTATATAATGAATTTGGATAACTATAGACCTGCTGCTGAACCATTCATTTTATCATCACACACATAAAACGAATTCAGTTTTAGTGATGACAAAGGAAAACAAATATTGATATGTAGTTTTAATTGTATTTGTTCTATCTCTTTTTGTTGATTTTTGGATTGATTTTGTTGTTTGATTTGTGGGTTTTGTGGGTTTTACAATTATCCTCTTTTTTTAGGATGCTATCATCACATGTTTTTTTTGCTATATGTGGTGGTCAATTCTAATTTGTGTCATGGGACCTTTATCTTCATGGCTTCTTCAATGCTTCAATTAAGTTGCCTTCAGATTATACTATTGGAGTTGTTGCTTTCTATGTGAGTTCTCTTCTCAACATTCTTAATTTTTTTATTTCTAAAATAATAATAATAAAAATAATTCATTTTTTCTTTTCAATAATCAAAATCAGTTTTTTCCTTTGGCTCTGTAATTCTCTTGCTTAAAAGTTCACATTTCTCAACAAGGTTTATCTTTCTCTGATTGATTTATAGACTTATCAATAATATCCAATGAGTTATCCTGCAAATTTTTTTGCTTTTCTTGACGAAGTTTTAAACTTTGGTTGTAGATGTCAAATGTTGACATATTTGAGAAGAACCATCATGATATAGACTTTGAGTGAAATTTGTGGATATTTTACTTATTGATTTTTTAATTATAAATTCAATATAAAATAAACTTCAACACAGAAAATATATATTTAAAACACAAAAAAAAAAAACAATAATAATATAAAAAATATATAAACATACCCGCGCAACATGCGGGCTTTTCATCTAGTTTTCTTATAATTTGATAAAACATTGTCCATAACGTCCCTATTAAATACTTCAACACATGAGAATTAATTACTTATGTTTTCATATGGTTTGAATAATACTATCTTTTTCTAGTTTATCCATTATAATTAACATGTTTATAATAATTCTTGTAAAAATAAAATTATTAAAAAAATACTTCATGTCAACATAATTGACTCAAGTTTAAACGCAAAACCAAATTCTTAAGATATAACTAGGGGTAAGCATGGGTAAAGGATAGAATCGGAACCAGCCCCATTAGGTTTCGGTTCCAGTTCTGGAAAATTGGAACTAGGAATTCCTAGGTCCAGTTCCAGTTCCTGTAGTGCTAGAACCGGGAATCAAAATCGGAATCAGAATCGAGATCCAGGTACCGGAGTAGGAATCGGGACTGAATTATAATTTTTGTAAACTATTGGGGGCGTATTTGTAAAATTTTAGGGTGTATTTGTCATTTTTTTAAAGTATGGGATAATTAAAAGTAACCTGGGTACTCGAAACTAAAATCAAAACCTATGTTTTAGGTTCTGGTTCCAGATTTCTAGGAATTAGAACTGGCCAGTTCTAGTTCTGGTTCCTTAAAAAAATGCAAGGTACCCTGAACCAATCATCCTTAGATATAACTATGATATTTGAGAAGCGGGTGGTTTCACAACGTGTATTTGGTATTTTACACAATGAATCGCAGGCATTGACATATCGAGTTTTGGCTTAACAAAGATAGGAATAATTGGAGAGAGGGCATTCCCATCCCCACTTGCTCAATGTCCTTCCTTCTGACAAGCTTACTAGACCTAGGAATGAGAATGGATTTTGCTTTTCCTACTGAAGTGAGCTGACGTTACTAATGAACTTCTTGTGGTGATCTATCTTACTACGACATTCATGTGTCATTTTTTCACTTCAGGGACACACGCTATGGCCCTCTACCTCCTCTGTCCCAAAGCCTTACCCTCCCTTATCTTCTTCCCTCCTCTTTCTCTCTCGTCTCTTCCTCTGCAAGTCCCAAGTCCTAAAACCCTTTTGTCACAGTATCAGAGGTCTTCCATCATTTTTGCTTTTTCTTCCGACCTCCTTTCTTTCAGTTTTAGACTTTTCAAAACCTTTTGAATTTCCATTAATGGCAGTTGCAGGAGAAGTCGTCTCGTGTGCGTCTTTCACCTTTGGACAAGGCTGAGCAATCTGATCCCAATCCATATATTTGCACGAGAAATTTTGCAAAACCGTAGGTGGAAGTGAGAGAGTACCATAAGGTGTTTAAATCATATAATGTTTTATTGGAGTGGTATATTATATTAACAGAAAGAAAGATCACCTTAAAGATTATTAGGATTGTTTAGAAAATGTGTTTGGTTGGTTCGAATAAATTGATGAATAATATGTTTGGTTGGAAAGATAAATGGGTGGTTATGTTATATAGATTACTAAATCGCCCTCCTTTTTAAATATTAATATAATAGTATTTATTATTATTATTTTTTGAATCATTTCTTTTAACCCCATATATTTGAAATTTTGCTAAAACACCCTAGCCATATAAAATTTTAATTTGTGGCAAAATCACCCCCACTCACCCCAAGCCATTGTCGGCAGCCAGCCACCACCGCCGATCGCCACCAATAGTCGATGGAATGATGCACGACTGGCCGTATATGGCTAGCTATGCGCTGGCAAAGCCAGAAATGGCCATGGATCACAAATCCATGGCTGGAAAATGGCCAAATCTATGGCCATTTCACAACCAAAGATGTGGCTGTGAAATAACCACAGATCTGGCCGTGCCATTTCACGACCAAAGATCTGGCCTTTTCACGGCTAGATCTGTGGTCATTACACGGCCACATCTTTGGCTGTGAAATGACTATAGAAACGCTAGATCTCTGGAAAAAGCCTTATTAGCGCACGAACAGCCAGATCCCGCCCGTCATGCACCATTACGACGATTGATACTGTCGGTCGGTGGTGGTAAGTCACGACCGACGGTGGTCTTGGGTGGCTAGGGGTGTTTTGTTAACTTTTAAACTTTCTTGTGGCTGGGGTGCTAATTTCTCAAATGTAGGGGGGTTGAGCTAGTTGTTATTTGGTAGACATTTGAGAGAAATTGTGTCTGAAATGATTTTTAATTAAGGGCAAAATGGGTAGAAAAATCAGATTCCTCTGGTAATATTTTAATAACACCCCCTAACAAGGTAATAAGATTACCCTCCACATTCCCAACAGTAAATGTTATTTGCAATAAAAAATTACCATAATATTTTATTACTTGCAAACTAAACACAGAAATCTTGCAAAATAAATGAAGATTACCCCCAATAACTTATTTACCCCTGATCCAAACGACCCCTAAGGATAAAAAGGCCATGATGGATTTAACGAGAGTCGGCCGCTCAAAGTCATTCTCAAACCAAGTTAATATTATATCGTACTTATTATATGGGTGTGTTTGTTTTATTATTTTGAGTAGTATTTTTGAAATATTATTGGTAAGTAGAGTTGGGTGATTATTACGAGGTAGAATTTAAAAATTAATAAAAAAACCCCCATAAGTTTGCTAATTTAACTTAACACCCCAATATATAAAAAAAAATTGTAAAATCACAAAAACACCCCCACCACACACAGTTGCCAGATTCCGGCCACCATCGTCAGAATCTGGCATTATGGTGCACGATCGGCTAGATCTAGTCGATTGTGCACTGAGATGGTCTTTTCTAGCCAAATCCACTGTAGATTTGGTAGGAAAAGGTAAAATCTACGGCCAGATCTGGCCGTGTTTGGTCATCAACGATGGCCATGTCTTGGCCATCATTAAAGACCAGCTACAACCAAAGATCTGGTCATCAACGACCAGATCTTTGGCCGTAAATCTGGCCTTTTCTAGCTAGATCCACAGTGTGTCTGGTTGGTAAATGATAGATCAGCGTACTACCAGCTAGATTCAGCCGATAGTGCATCATTATACCATATTTTGGTCATCTTCCGGCAGTGGTGGCCGAAATCTGGTAAATGTAGGTTGATGGGGGTGTTTTTGTTAATTTTTAAACTTTTTTCAGGGGGTGTTTAGTTAAATTAATAAATTTAGGGGTTTTAAATAGTTAAATAAAATATAATAGTATTTTCAGAATAGAGAAACAAATTTGTATTGTTGAAATAGTATTTAATAGAATAAGAAAAAATAATTAAACCAATGGCCCAAACATCATACTTGTCCAAAAATATTATATAGAACATAAGAAAAACAATTCAATAATATTAATAATTAATTTAGTAAAAATGGGTAGAAGAGAAAACGTGTCAACTACCGGATACGGTAACAGAAATTTGACTCTTCCAATGTCGTGGAAAAAAAAAGGAGGGTGATAATGCAGTAGAGGGTGAGGGTGAGGCAGAGGCAGCCAAGCCATCCAAGCAAAGAGATATTGCGGTTGGACTTTTCGTCCTTTCACATTGACTAAATCTTGAGACAAAATAAATAAAATCCTAAACTTGTCATCTTTATTCTTTCCTTTTCTTTCTCCTCTGGTGAGAAGGATAACAAATTAACAAAACCAAACAAGTCAAAGCGACCCCTTCCTTCCCTCTTCTCTTCTCTTCTCTTCTCTTGTTTTCTAATCTAATGCCCAAAACGAAGACACCCGCTTCTTCTTCTTCTTGATTCTTTTTTCTCTTACGAGGGAATTAGATAAGAGATTTTGAGAAGAAGATTAAAGGGGAAGAAAACCTAGTTAGTTCAAGAGAGAGAGATAGAGAAGAAGCTATTCATGGATTCCACGGCAACACCCACGACAACAGTTGTCAATGATAAAGAGTCAATGGTGGATCCCTTTTTGGTTGAGGCTCTTCAGAACCCTCGTCATCGACTCACCAGTTAGTACCCTTGTCTTTTTCTCTTCCAATTCCCATATATAAAATCCTAATTCTGTTAATGGGTTTGATTGTTTTGGTTGTGTTGTTGAGATTGGTGGATGCAAGATTGTGCTTTTGGATTTTAGGGTTTTGTGAGATTGGTGGGTCTTTTTCAATTGGATTGGATTAGGGTTATGGTTTTGCTGATTTTCTTATTTCGAGATTTGTTATCTGAGAATTGGGTTTTTCTCAGATCTGGGTTTTGTTTTGGGAGTTATTTTTTGTTTGGTTACCGGGAAAATTGAGGGAAATATAAAAGGAAAAAATCAAGATTATATTTTTTTTTATTATCAATTTTTGTTGATGTTATCTCCCAAATTGTGCATCAATTGGATGAAAAAATTCGGCTGAATTGATTGAGTTGGGATGGAATGACCCCGATTAAGTGATTTCTTATGCCTTTTTGGTGGGGTCAAAGTACTGACAGTTTAGAATGAAGTTTTATATCCTGCTTTCTCATTAATATCCACAGGCTATTTTGAATCCTGCTATTACTTTTTAATTATTGTTCCAAAGGTACCAAGGATCTGATATGTATTGCTTCTGTAATCTGAATCCGCAATTAGTTTTAATGATGGAGTAACCCCTGGTGTTGGGGTTTGAGTAGTTTAGAACTTTATTTCTCAACCAAAGTTTAGGGGTTCAAAACACTTTGGGACTATCGTGGCAGTAGATCGATGAGTTTCTAGTTTCGAACACAGTTTACTCTTAGGAGAAGTTGGGTTTATGGATATAAGAAAAAGATGTCTTGGATTGGTGCTTGTTAAGTTGAATTTGGTTTGGAATTGACCTATTAAACTCTTGTTGTTTACTTTTTGAATCTTAATAGTATTGATGGCCATTATTTTGGTACACGGTTTCTAAGTTGAAGATATTAATAGGTGTCTGCCGTGTAACCTTTTTTATTATTTAAATATCATTGTTTAGCTAAGAGATTAGTACGTTTGAATGTACCTCCTTTAGCTTAGATGGGAAAGAAGCTCGTACTAATAAGATCTAAATTTTTTTCCATTGTAGTTTGTAAGGCCTCCTGTTTGTGTACTTTTTTAGGTAATTATTTTGGACCTATTCTATGTACAGTTATAGTGTTTCTGGCGAAGGTATTGATGATTAAAGAACTATTCTTAAATGTTTCCTGAACAGCTAGGTTAATGAAAGACTTTTAAACTCAAACTTGAATGTGTATGTTTTGATTTCTCTATGTCTATGAAAATTTTACATTATACTCATTATATATAATATTTTATTCACTCAGTTGTCATGATTAAGCTATTGAAGTTGTTACTCGTGCTTAGTGTTGAGTTCAAATATAAATTTAGATCAAGCTCTAATTGGCATGGAGTCCTATTGATCCAAATTCAAGCTTTTCTAAATGCTTTTGAAACAGACCTGACCATTAATTTTGAAGCTTGATTGGACTTGAGCTCAAAATCTTTGTTCAAGCTTGAGTATTTGTTTAATTCAGCTCATTTGCACCTCCAATTAATCCCCCTCATAATTTCTTTTAGGTATAAATCCTGTTATCATTGTACTTTTTCATTCTAGACAATTAATTTTAATCTAAAGAGTACTCTCATTGAAGCTAAGAATGAAATTCAATTCTTTCACTGAACCTGAGGTTGATTCCACTGTCATGGTGGAAGAACAAACTTTTTGCTCTTTTTTATTGTTTTCATTTTATATATGTTTATTATAATAAATTTAATCTCCCATTTTCCTGTGTTTACATGTCCAATACTTAAGAATTCCATGTTAACTCTGCCCTTGGACAGACAATATTAAAGCTAGCCCTTGTTCTGTCAAGGAAAGCACAACTTGCTTGTGTTTATTGTTTCTTTTATACTAGGCATAAAATCTAAAGATCTGTGGACAATGTCAAGAAGTGTAGAATTACATAGATAGAAAGTTAGAATTAAATTCAATTATATGCAATTCACTAAGTTTAAGTTTTTTGTTGGATTTGCTTTGGTATCAATTGAAATGGTTGCTTTATGATAGGAACGCACTCCAATAATTCAACAATTGGGCTGGGCCATGGGTCTTTCATGGGCTTAAGTAGAACTTTCCTTGGAAAACTAGCTTGCTAAGGGAGGGTGTCCAAGCTCTTAAAATCCAAATGCCCACCCCTTTCCCTTCCAATGTGGGATCCTAACATTCCACCACGCTTCCGCAACCAACGTCCACGTCGGCCTCTTTACCCCTTGATTGATTACGCGGATCCCCTTTCCCTTGGGCTTCCATGCCCTTTCTTGGGGTAGCAGCCCTGACCCAAGGTCAGCTTGCCACGTGTGTGCTGCCACGTAGGCACAGGATCATGTTCTGATACCATTTGATAGAACACCGATCCTGTTCTCACACACCAGCAACACACAAACTGCCTTTCTCACACACCAACTACACAGACTCAACAGTCACAAGTAATAAAATGAAGTAAACTGTATATATTGATATCAAGATTAGAACACTACATTCAGAAGGTCCATGTTTTATCGTCAAACCAGCAACCAAAACACAAAATGATTCCAGAAACTAAACAGCAAAAAATAAAGATAAAGACAACGGCGAAAAAATAAGATAAAGACTGAACTATGAGGGTCAACCGCGTCCCTTTCCCAACCTTAACCTTTTTCTAGAATGAGAGCCTACAAATCCCTTGTCCTTGCCTTTTATTCCCTAACACCTTTTTCTCATAACCGAATTCCTCACCCTCTCCACTCTCACAATGCCATCTGTCTCACCTAAATTCCACTCTTTAACACTCGCCACCTCACTAGTTTTCTGCCCTTTTTACCCATACTCCTCTACTGACCCCCTTCCCTTCTATTTTATAGACTAATACACCAGGTGTCTCATCACTTTACTAAGAACTTGATTATAGTTTGGTTTTTGGCAATTAACTTATCTCATTACTAGACTTTTTACTGCTGGTGGAAGCCCAAACTGTTTTGTCTCTTATTTTCCATCTGCTGTAAAATGTATGCATTCGTTAGTGCTATGCTTATTTTTATCCTCTCGTTGCAACTAAGGATGATATGCACAATTGAAAGTGAGTCCTGTTAAATGTGGCATTAAACAATTTTTTATTTTTGTTTTTATAGATTTTAGGGTTATAGGTGATGACATTATGTCACTCAATGAGTCTGTACTTTTTCTAAAATCTGTGGTATGTTATCTGTTTTTGTATGCTTTGTATATCATGGTACTTACTTTCTAGAAGCTCCTTCCAGTTGCTTCCATAATTGTATATTTATGTGGATTTTTCTTTGTAACTGCAAGAGTTAACCATCTATTTTCTGATTTTCTCTTCTGAGCAGTTCTGCGGATGGAACTTGATATCCAGAGATTTTTGCAAAATCCTGATCAGCAGCATTTCGAGTTCCAGCATTTTCCTACTTCTTATCTTCGACTAGCTGCACACCGTGTTTCTCAACACTATGGGCTGGTAACTATGGTCCAGGAGAATGGCTTAGATGGGTTGGGTAGTAGAATTGTGGTGAGGAAAACAGCAGAAAGCAAATATCCAGCTGTTCGATTATCTGAAATTCCTGCTAAACAGTCTGAAGAAAGTGGTAAGCTTGATCAGATTAAAATTGTCATTAGGCCTAGGCCCAATAGAGGATCCATTAATGAAGCTAATGAATTTGGGGTCAAACGAAGTACTGTCAGAAGTGTTGAAGAGAGGAAGGAGGAGTATGACAGGGCACGTGCCCGCATATTTAGTAATCCTGGCAGTCCTGACTCAGAGGATACTTTGTCTCAGGTCCCTAATGATGGGAGAGGTATAAGCTTGAGCAGAGATGAGAATGAAAGTAGCAGGAATTCTGTTATTGATACAGAAAAGATTGTTAACATCAGAGATGGTAATTCTTCTCGAGTTGCTATTTTCAGAGATAGGGAGAAGGATCGTACTGATCCTGATTATGATCGGAGTTATGATAGGTAGGTTTTATCTTTTCATGTTTTGGGATTGTGAAGCTATTCTAGTGGTTGATACTTGATAGCTTTGCAGCAGGGTTGCCATTTGTTTTGTTCATGCTGACAAACTTGCATATGAAACACCATTCCTGGCACTAGACCTCGTTGCCATCTTTTTTTATGAGATACCTTGAAAAGCATATATGGATGCCCAAATTTAAGTAAAAAAGTAGAGACCTTGGTTTCATTAATGCCCTTGTTATAGTGGGTATATATATATTTGTTTTGATAACTCTTTCGAGGGTAACTTTGAGATGTGATTTTTATCATGAATGATCACTAGCTGTGCAACTTGGCTGGACATACTTTGTATGATTTGTGACCGGGTATGGTGTTGTGATTCTTGTATTGACTAGTGTGCTAGTCATTTGCCCCCCTTTTCTATCTTAAATTCCACTAGGAAATGGGGCAATAAAATTTTTTTGTATGCTAGGCATAGGATATTGTTGGTTTCATTCTTCATTTTCTTGATTTTTCATTGGCATGGTACAAAATGAATAGATTTCCTAGTTGGATCAAGCTGCATTACTTTATGAATTGATGCAGGTATGTTAGGAGCCTTCCAACTAATCAGGGCTTTGGCTTGGCGCCCTTCAATATGCAGAAAGTTCAACTTCCATTCGTACAGTATGACACTGGTTTTCCCCAAGTGGGTCAGATCCCTAGGACTCAAGCTTCCCTCAACCATAGGGCTCCAGCAAACCCTATTATGAGCCCCTATTGTGCGCCTGGACAACATACGTCTATGGAAGCTGCATATGTACAATGGCCCAGTGCTGCAATGATGTATGCAAATTCATATGAACAGTTTAGACATGCTGTTTTTCAGGTAGGATGCAGTTATTTTTTGTACTCTTGATTCAATTGAAAAATGATTTGCTTTTACCTTTATGAAAGAGAATAATTTAAGGAATGCCGTAGTTGCAATGGGTCCTCTGTTGATAATTTTTTCCTTTTTGTTATTGGTTGGGTTTTAAGATTAGGCCCATCCTCTTGGTGGTTACACGTTACATGATGTGTTGTGAGTTCTAATATCTGTTTTTATATGATTTACAGCATGTGTTCTATATGGGCGACTTCCAAGTTTTTTCTTTGATTTTGCTTCTCTAGTAATTTACCTACATTGCGTCTAACATTGAATTTGGGAGTATCTGGCCCTTAAATTGTATTAGTGGTTTGGTCTGGAACATACAAGTACATGGCCTTTGACCAGCACTTAATTTGTTCTTCACTTTCTTTGCCTTTGTTTCTGAATAGTTAACATTACCGGGTGCTCAATATCTTTCCTGCCACAAACATTCTTCTTTATCCTTGAACTTCTTTCTTCTAAAGGGTTAAGTTTGTTTTGTCTAGATAATAGTGAATGGTGTTGAAATATTTTGATGACTAGTCTATAGGTTTGCCAATAGACCTTCATGAATGTCTATTTTAAGTTGATGCTTTGTGGTATGAATTCTCTCTTTTGTTTGATGAAATTAATTGTTTATCAGCACATTTTTAAACTGTTTTTGTTTTAGTGGGGTTGAGGTTAATTAGAGACTTAAACCATGCTATTCAATCCAAGGATTTTGCTCTTGGCAGTAGCCATTGAAGTATACGTGCTTCTAGCACAAGGCTCAAGGAACTTTGCTCTATATCAGTGCTTTAAAATGTTTGGAAGTTTCTTCTAGTTATTTGGGGCGGTCATTTTCCCAGGAATAGGGTGTTATATGCCGTGCATAACTGCAAATTCTTATAACTATGTTTTTCTGTCGTTTCACATCTGATTTACATTTTTTTTTTTTCCTTCTGCAGGCTCCATTCTGTCAGCAACCTCTGAGCTTTGATTACACCCAAAACCATTGACAGTTAGGTCAGGGATGAATGTATCACAGATTCATATGCAGATTTCTCTATACCTTTTAGGACTTGCTGTTTGTAGTTTCATTTTCCAAAGACATTACCCTTATAGACCTTTGTTTCCAGTTTCTCTAGTAATTCCTTCTCTGTTTCTGTGGATTTTAATATTAGCAAGGACTGTAAACTAGTCATTTTCCAACCTTCCTTTTCTTTTCTAGTGCTTCCCTTACAAAACTTATTTGATGATTCTTCATATCATGGGGCTGCTAAACTCAAAGGCTATAGTTTTTGTTTGTGGAGCTCATGGCTCAATGCTTTAGCCCAGCAATTGCCTAGAAGAGTTACTTACTGCCAAAGTGACTCAGTTAAATATAAAATTGGTTGACAATTAAAATATGCAATGGAGTCACATGGAACTTTGTATTAAAGTTTGGATAACGGGGTTATAAAGACATCATTGACAGCTATGAGTTCATCATGATTTAATCACTATGAATTTTTAATGAGTTTCATAAAGTATTTAAATTGATTGATACATACCTCTTTACCTGCAGGTTCATTATTAATCTGATATCTGAACTGTCCAACCCTTTAAGAAAGGCTATAATATGGCTGACTGTTCCAATTAACAAATATGAATTAATTTATGTAAAGATCTTATATAGTCTATCAGATCATCCAGCCAGTGGTGAGCTAATATTCAATATATTATAATAATAACTATTTAATTTGTTTGTTTCTCGTGTTGAAAATACAATCCAGGTCGTGTTGATTTGCTAGTGGTGGTACTTCGAGTGGATTTGGGTTCGAATCCAATCCATGGAGATAAGATGAAAAAGACCAATCAATCCTAAAAGAAAATTCTGGAATAAATGCATCGCTGTTGAAATTTCAAGTCAATTGAAAATGGTATTTACTTAGGAAAAAGTTATGAAATTACAGGTTCCAAGAGACAGATAGATGACAATAACTGCTTCTGGTTACTTCATAGAAGGAGAGACAAATTGAAGGGAATGTAAATAATCAAGAAAACATTCCCAATATTTCCAATAATATTCAAATATGAAGTTTCTTTTTGTTGGGCAATCCCATGAAGACAACCGCAGAGGGATTTCTAGGAAGCAGAAATACACCCCATATAGACAACCTGACAAAATTTCAATCATCTACTCTATATTAAATAACTCCTAAGTTCACCCATTTCATTTTTTTTTTTTTTTTTTTCTTTTCGGGGTGGGGGATTTGCTTTGCATTTGCATCTCCTTAAATGGGCTTCAGCCTTCAGTGGCCAGTGCTTTATACAATTTTCATTCACTTGCATTCGAAAATAGGAAAATAGAGGAAACGTCTGTGAGTCTGTCCCTCCACTAGAAAGTTAAAAGTTTACCAAACAAAGCAAGCTAAAAAGCTAAAAAGAGAAGCTCGGTTATCATCCAATTAAACATTGAGGAAGTGGGGGTGTTTATAAAATATTTTATGAAGTCGAAGAACTGGCTGGAAACAACAGCTGGGTTGGTCAGTGTGCAGTGTGTCTGTGTCAGTTCTGTGTGCCTGCCGGTGCCATTGCTAGCTAGCCCATGTGCCCACGTTTATGCTTCAACCTAATGCTAAATGAACTTATAATTTTCAACGTCCCATAAAAAATTGCACTCAGCTATCAGCGTGCTTCAATTTAGTTAATTAATAACCCAACCAATATCTCTCACATGCTATGATTAAATTAAAAGTACTCTGAACCCACTGAACTACTTTCCAATCCAATATTCTTCTTCTTTTTAGTTTGAATTGTCAGCAATATATTAGCATTACTACTAAATAAATAGATTACTTTCCTGCCAGATTTCATCAAAACTAGTGCACAATACAAAAGTTTAAATTAGGCAAAAAGGGTCAAGTTGTAAGTAGCACAATAAGTGAGAGCAAGATACCCAGAAACTTATTGGTGCTACAGGAAGCTGAAATAAATTTTTTATGATAATATTATGCTGTTTGTTGAAATAAGATCCATCTAGAGAAAAATGCACCTGTAGTTGAAGGACAATGCACAGCATCTGTTAGGGGCCAACATACAAACACCAATAATTGAAAGGAAGATGACCATTTAAGGCTAGGGAGAACTAAGTTTTTACTACACAATCATGGTAAAAATTGGGAAGCAATAAACATCAGTATGATAATAATGTTTAAGGAGACTGGATAATCATCTAGTTAAGTGTTAAACTAAGGAGCCAGAGTTCTACTTTTGCAAGATCGATATAAATTTGACAGAAAAATATTAGTCCCTTATTTCACAACACAACACTTTGATCTCATATATCCATACTGCTACCATTATTATCCTCAATCCACAATAAAATCATCTCGTAATATTCATATCTTGTATAGGTGATTTAAGCTTCAAGCAAATAGTCTTACCGGTCAATCAGTGACTACATAACTCATCAACCCTCAGTAAGGAGGCTTAGATTTTCTAGAGATTTAAGATATTTGACAATATAAAGAAGATCTTGACAGAAATGCAAGGTACATGCACTATCATGAGAAACTCAATTGAGGGTTAATTTAAGAAAAATTATTAAGTGAATCAAGATCCATCGGCAGAATTTTATAATCCATAAGAAGGAAAAGATGGTAAATTTTCCAAGAGTTTATGCAACTTTATGTATTTATGTTTCATGCGGTTTCACTAATTTTCCTTCATAGGCAAGTTTCAAAGAATGGAATGAGAATATTTTGAAATTTGGAACCTTAAGACATCCACTCCAAAGCAAAATATCATTAAGTTTCCAAGTTTATCTGTCCCAGGTTGAGCATTCAAGTATTAGTTGTTTGCTTTATTCATACGGCATCCTCAAAAATAACCAATCTAAAACAGATCCTAATCCTATATGGAAGAGAGCGTGAATCTACCGACTATAATGCATTACAATGGTAATAAAGTGCTCAATAAAATAGCTCTAAATAGTGTCTCCATTCTCTACTAATATTCTTGATTTTACTTCTTACCCAGTTGGTTTGACAACTTAATTGAGAACTAAGCAGAAATCAACTCCAACTAATATTTGCACTGCATGCAGCATTTGAGCTGTAAATGACCGAGGGAGAAGACTGAACATGGTTTAATAAAGACATGACCTTAAGATAACACACAAATATACTTTTAAAGGATAAGGATTATTTCGATTGCCTTATTTTACATTCCACAAGAAAATGTCATTCAATAACAACAGCACAGTAAAGATATGGATACTAGGAAATTCGAAAGATTCAGATACTTCAATGTTCCATGGGGCATGAAATTAAATTTAGCATTCTAATAACATCAGAATTGTTTGATGATTCCCTTACATCAAGGGTAGCTAAAGTCTTCTATGGAATCACACAATGTACAAAAAGTACAACTCACCTCTACATAACACTGAACTAAGAAAAAGAAAAGATAACTCTTAAAACAGGAGATTTTTGGATATTGCCGAGAAATTCAGTGCCAAATGTGGAAACCAAGGATCGCAACCCCCATATTTTTAGATTTCTAGAGAACATAAATTGAACCTGCGAGCATTATTTATCCTCACCTGCAAGCTCAAATTTGGTCAATTTGTTGCTCCAGCAAACCCCACCACCAATACCATCAAAATTATGTCCCTGATAAGAAGACTCTAAACGTAAGAAAGTGCAGCCGATCCGCCAACTACTGTGGCATAAAGCCATCTCTAAGAAACTCAGACTGAAAAAATATCACAAGACTGCAAGAACTGCTTCCATAGACAAGCTTAGAAACATTATTAACGCTCAAAGTGACATCACGATCAATATCCCTCACCAGAAGCTACCAGGAGACACAACAGGCTCCTACCAACAAATTAATTTACATAAGTAGAAGCCTTAGAATTGAAGGACAGACAATGAACACTACTCTACAATACTAGTCACTCACAAAGGATAACTCAACATACCCCATCAACAAAAGAACCACAACAACAGAGGTTTTTGGATCTGAAGATGCAATTCAGATGACAATTTAAGCCCTCAATACTACTGACTACCACCAAGATTAGTACCAACAACTACTAACAACAATACTAACCACCAAACTCCAACTACACAACGACCCAGAAGAACAAAACTCTGAAAAGGAAAAACGAAAGCAAGTTGAATCAATTACCCAATTCAATCATCCCCAGTAGGAAACAGAGTGAGAACCTTCCTTCCTCCATTAGCTGACTCTAAATCCTCCACATAACCCGGTACCGAATTATGAACCGGTGCCCCTATCCTATGAACCGGTTGCTGAGCCGGTTGTCTAGCAAGAAACGGATGCTCGAATTGCCCATTTGGTGGCGACCCAAAATGACCCATTTGCCTATGATAATGTGGATTAGTCACCGCAGCAACTGCCGCCATCTGCTGCTGGTGATGCTGCAGTGCAGCCACAGGAACATAAGGCAAGAAATGTTCCGAATTACCCCGACCCGGATGCAAGAAATGCGGAGGAACCGGTGAGCTGGCAAACAAATGGTCAGTGGCCGGATCAGCCGAGGCAGCTAACCCAGCAGCTCCGCCTCCAGCACCGTTAACACCTCCAGCACCGTTACCACCACCGGATAACCCTTGCATTCTTTTCAAATAAAGGCGGTATTTTTGCAAATGACTGGCGACGTTCTCTCTCGTTAACCCATCAACACTCATTAGTTGCATTATAGTCTTGGGCACAGCATTCTTGATCCCCAAGTGGGCCACAGCATCCACAAATCGTTTATGCAGCTGTGGGGTCCACACCAGCCTGGGCCGCTTCAGGGTTCTGGCGGGCTCATCGCTGCCGGCACCGGACCCCAACTCCGCCGAATTCTCAGCCGCGAATTCAGGGGGAGACGGCGCCATAGGGTTGTTCCCGCCGGGCGGAGGAGTGACTTGCTGCGACGGCTGCTGCGACGGCTGTGAGACGTGATTGGGCGAAGTATTAATATTATTATTATTGATGGGGTTTCGAATATCGAAAGCATAAGCCAGACCAGGAGTGATTAGGGTTTGAGAAAGAGGCATGAGTTCTTCAGGAGAAGGGAGCTCTTCTTCCCATCTCGAGAACCAATTCGAGTCTTCCTCCCTCATTATTTTACAAAACTGCCACTTGTTAAAAGTCAAGTGATTGATTGGTGTGAGATGTTATATGCGGTTGTTATTGGGTTAACGAATTCAATGATAAAAAAGAGGGGGTGATGATAAAAAGATTGGAAAGTTGTTGTTCGAGATAGAGAAGGAGACAGTGGTGGTGGTGGTGGCAACGGTTATGGCCGTCGTGGTGGTGGTGAAAAAAGTTTGGGTGGAGGGAAGTGGAGAGAGGTTCGAGGTGGATCTTGTATTCTTCTTTTCGGCTTTTATTGTGGGCTACTGTTGCTGTTGTTGATGCTTTTTCTTATGATTTTTATGGAGAAAATGCTGCGGTTCGACGTTACCGTTACCAGATCACAGTATTTTACTATCTCACTTGAGCGGCAACGTTCCCGGTTCCCATTTCCAACCACTGGATTAGTTGACTAAAGAGATACCAATTTAATCATTAATCAAGATTAAAACAATAACATAATTAACATTATATAATAATGTTAACGTAAAGATTCTTCAATTTTAATATAACCTAATGTGAAATTTAAATGTATGAAATTAAAAGATTAAATGTAAATAACATGATGAAATTAGGTAACTGTTGGATTGAAAATTTGAAAAAATATTGGTGATGGTGAAGGCTCTCTCTCAGTCTCAACTATTAAGATTAAGACAAATGCTACTTTATTATTAGTGTTAATTATGAGATCGGTTATGGGAATAAGTTGAATACGTCACCGTATTTCAAAATACGATATTACGATTTCAATATCTCTTCAGTTTAATTAGAAAATAGATAACGTTACCGTAATTATTGATTAAAGTCCGGGATTTGGGGGTCTTATGCTTGAGAGTGAGTGTTGCCCAAGATTTTTCAGATTTTGTTTATGTTATCAAACTCCACGGATTTTCCCAGGCGCGTGATTCCACGCTCTACCCAATGTTATTACAAAACTACCTGATGATTGTCTGATTTTGATTTTGATTTTGATTTTGATTTTGTATTGTACTGTACTGTTGTCATACGTGGGATTGGGCGCGTACTGTGATTTTGCCTGAGTGTGCAGATGTACTTTATACATGCGCGTGGGAGGAATGGGATTAGGTTGGAGCAGGGACAGAATCGGGTTAGGTTGGGTTTGTACGGGAACAAAGTGGGGGGAGATTGGGTAATGCAAAGTTTGGTGACTTTGTGGAATTCCTTTATAGGGTGTTGATGAGGGAATCAAGTGAGATTGTGTTTGGTTGCGAGGATAACTTTCTGTTTTTTGGGCCTCAAAAATAATATTGCGTGGTAGTATCTTTAATAGTATTTTTTATTTTTAAGATCATATTGCACATAAATAAAAAATATCTTTATTAATTTTTAATTATAAAAAATAAAATTTGTATTTAAATCTAATAAACTCTTTAAATTAGACTTAATAATAAGACTCGCAACCTCTCTTTTTCATTATTCCTTCCTAAAATGACTTCTTCTTTATTATTTTTTAAATTTAACAAATTTATTTCTGAACAAATAGCATTCACTTTTTCACAAATACTAAACTATTGAAAATATAAAGCTCAATTTTATACACATTTTTCCAAAAAAAAAAAAGAAAATTACATATCAATAATATTAATTTATTAATAGAAATGCTAAACTATAATACTAATTACAAAGAGGACCTAAGACTTATAATTTGACCTAAGCTCTTATTTGTTAGTAATATAAGATGTGATAAATTTCTCACCTTATAAAAAGCTTAGTATGGTAAGATAGTTTTATAACTTTCCTAACTGCTTCTTTCGAGCTGCCTTTCCTTCGGCTTGTAACAAATGCTCTCAAAGGCCTTGATCATTTACGGCCTGTTTCAACTATTTGATGGATGAATGTGTGCCCTATTGGAGTCGTTTCCGAGCCTTACTTCTTAGTCAGATTTTTATAATAGGTGGAGTTTTCCCTGAGTCGCCTATAACCCGTTTCTTTTGGTAATCTTATCAATGAGAGGCCTACAGTCTCTAGCTATGAGTCTAGTGGAAATAAGGGGCACTCCAAGATACTTGATGGGCAAGGTCCCTTCTTTGAAGCCAAAAAAAAGATTGATTTGCCTAGTAAAATTACTTTCTTTCAAGTGATTCATCAATAGGGTACCATAGAAAGTTGCTTCTTAGACTTTCGGTCAATGATCAAGTCTGTAAATAGGTCCAGCTCTAAGGGTCCTAAGAAGGGGTGGGGAAGCACGAAATTGGCACAACATCTATTGTACAGATGCTATTGAAACTGCGAGGGACCGTCCGTTAGTCAATGTTGGCATTTTTTTCTTCTTTCTTGTGACAATGTCACACCACATTGTTGGGTTGTGAAAGGTTGTCACACTACATAGTCTACTCGTGAGATTGCTCTGATATCAACTATTACCGTTCAAACTCAACCAAGTAGAATTGTTAACCTTTTTCCTAACTGACACCGATTTTCTTTTGGGATTCATTCAAAAGTCTTTTAATTGAAACACGTCTATTTAGTTAAGGGAATCCAAGACCATGTCTACTTAGTTGAGTAGATCAAGTGACTCAAACCCCCACATTGAAGGGATTCAAGACATAAACTGACTTACACTCCTACCTTATGGACCTTACGCCATCAAACCATCAAGTTGCGAAAGATCATCACGTTGCACTCACTTGCACCATTGGGTCGTGAGAGGTCGTCGAATAGTAATATTAGTGGCAAACCCACTCTCTGGTATAAAGTGTCAAGTTATGTCCAACTGAGTTGATATCGTTGACCAATTTACTTTTGGGTTTTATGCAATGCGATATTCACAAGAAATATATGTTTTAGTGAAAAAGAACTCAAAACTTATAAACTAAAACTTTAGTTCATTAACAATGAGAGATGTGATATATTTGATTGTAAATTTCATAATTCATATTATAAAATTTGTCTTCCAAGTAATGTGATAAAACCCAACGTTGTAAGGTAATTTATAGTTATAATAAGTCTATGTTTTTTACTTTTAAGAGGTTAAAAGATGAGATAAAAGCACAATTGATTATGCTTAGTTTCTAATATGTATGGTTAAATGAATTGACAAGTCGGCAAATGAAAAGTGAAAGTATCTTTTCAAAGCTAAAACAAGACCACACAAACCCAAAGAAGAAACAAAAATTATCTACTACATTAGGTTGCTTGTTTGGTTTTAAAAAAAAATGATTTGGGCAGTTGATTCTATAAGAATGGAAGAAAGAGGTTGTTGCGTACCTATTTTGAGCCATAAGAATTTGCCCAATTATTGCTTTCACAAAGGGCATGTTTTGTTGTTGTGCACTTATTTGTGAAAAGAATGCTACCAACCCAATAATAATATCAATCACTCCCCCATTTGAAAAGACTTGGTAAATCATGTGACCCCCATGTTTAAGTCCCCTTCGATTTGATTACATAAGATTAGGGATTATTCTGTGCTAAATTAACCAACAACCTCATTTTAAAACAAGTTTACATATATAAATATTATAGATTAAGTCATATTAGAATAACAATTTTTGGCATACATGTTATATGAATCAAACATATGATATAGAACATCAAATTTATAATACATTATAAAAATGATATTTCAATATACGTTAGTTAGACAAGATAACCATTGGCGTTTAAGTTGAACCCAAATCCCTGAGATAGCAGCCGAAATCTTTGACCATTTCTCAATCACTTTTAACAAAACCCTAATTGCCCTTTTACAGATATTGACTAACCATCAATTGTCTTAGATGAAAACCACAAAGAAAGAAAGAGAAAAAAAATAAAATGTAAAGGGAATAATAATGGAGAGAGTCAAAGCGGCAATGATTCAATAGTTTTGTCGGATACCCAGATGACTCAAATTGATAAGAAACTAAGTTGGAAAACTACATTATGGGTACAGACACAGCAAACACTTTAAAGATCACTCCTTTTACGACCAAGCCAGGGTGACAGATATAGCCAGCCACCCCACCCCACCCCATCTCTCACTTATCATTAAAAATCCAACCACACTTTTGTCAAGTGAATCTTGTCATAACATGAATGATGGCAATTATTCCTCAGCAATATCCGCAATACCAAAAATTCTGGAAATGGCCGACTGTACAGGACCAAGACAAAGTTCCTAGGATGGACAACAATACAAAAACCTAACCCCACATCTCAATTACTGTTCTCATCCTCTAATCACAAGGGAATCCATCTCCAAATTTTTGATGGGGACCATCAACCAAACCCATCATGAAAGGTGTTTGATCATGTGGGGGATCCCACTCAAATCAAATCCTCTCAATCTGTTTTCTCGGCTGTGGAACATCTGCAACAGCGCTGTAATATACTAGGAAAACTAAATCTCCACCCAAGTATGTTTATGAAACTCCTTTCGTGTTGCGAATTTCTGGATTTGTTTAAAACACAGCTCCTGGAGAAAGAAAGGAACGGATGATGCTCCAAGCTGGCATTGTCCCGTTCTCTGATAAATAAGATGATGTATGTATCTGGTTGTGTGAAAATAACAGGCAATAAACTAGAAGGCAACTCGTGGCTAACCACTTGAAGCAGAATTTTTTTGCCAGAGGGATTTTATCATGGCCCTGTTGCATCATAGTAATAAAAAGATGTTATCTGAATTGATTCATGAAAATACAGAAGATTTCTCAAGAAAGGCACACAAAAGCACAAAGAGGAAACAGAAGATTAAATAATTGCACTTACCAAGTAACATATATTCAATCCAGTTCACCAATCAACTTTAGAATATTAACAGTTATGATAATAAAAAACACGCGAAGGGAAGAAGCAAAAAAGTTTACCAGATATGGAAACTGGTTGATTTACTTGAGCAATGCTGATGTCCTAGTCTATCTCCTTCAGCATTAATGTATACAAGCCTTTGAAACTTATCTGATAGTTCATTGTAAGACAGAATCTCTGATGGTTGTACTTGTTTAATTGCAGTCCTTAAATGTTCCATAGTTATTTCTGATGCATCAATGTTGTCCTAATGGAACAAAGTTGATAATTAATGAACAGAAAAATGCATCCAAGAATATAAAGTAGGAATTCAACAAACCTCAATAGCTGAAATGGCTGCCTCTCGGCATATTAACGAAATATCAGCCCCAGTAAAACCTTCTGTGAGATACGCCAACTCTTTTATGGATACATCAGAACTGCAAGGAATTTTTCGTAAATGGATACGAAATATTTCCTCCCGGTCACTCTCATTTGGAGGTCCCACATATAGCAGGCGATCAAAGCGTCCTGTCCAAATGTTTAATAAATTATTTGCAAAGATATAAAGTTTGTGGGCCAAGGGTAAGAGAGTGGCGAACATGAATACATGTGTGTTTTGAGAGAAAACAGAGAGTGGTGATACCAGGTCTTAAAAGGGCAGGATCAATCTTGTCAGGCCGATTCGTAGCAGCGATAACAGTGACATTAACTCTTTGATGTAAACCTACAATCAGGAAATATTCCATCAACCATATACAAATGGAAGGGACTGTTACATATTCCAAAACTTCAAAACTAATTACTAACCATCCAATTCCACAAGAAGTTGACTCATAACCCTATCAGAAACTGAAACTCCATCACTTTCATTCCCACGAATGACAGCAAGACCATCAATTTCATCAAAAAATATGATTGACGGTGCATTGGCTCGTGCCTTGGCAAATAGGGATCTCACAGCTTTCTCTGATTCACCAACCCATTTGCTAAAAAGTTCAGGACCCTTTACTGAGAGGAAATTTAGCCCTGCTTCAGAAGCTACTGCACGTGCCATAAGGGTTTTGCTACAACCGGGAGGACCAAACATCAATATTCCTGTTGGGGGACAAGTGCCAATACGCATGAATGCTTCCTGGTGTTTTTGAGGCCATTCTACTGCTTCCATTAATTGAGTTTTGACCTCCCTCTGGCCACCAACATCTTCCCAATTGACCTTTGGCACCTCAAGTATTACCTAGAAGTAGAAAGAACAGGTCAACAGTTGGATAAATAGGACAAGAAGCTACAATTTGCCAGTTCCTGCTTCGCACATTTAGTAGACTGCTTCTATAAGGACTTATAATAGCAAAGTTGCAAAATTAAGATGGTGATTACAACTAGGAACTGCAGCAATGGCAGTCTGATGTACCAGAGACTGATATTGTTAGACATGACACACTACTTTATAGCTAGAAGAATCCTTGGATGAGTAACCTATATATATGTGAGACATATTCTCCTACAATTGGAATGCAAATAACTTTAACATCTAACATTGAGAAATTTTAGAAAACTGCTCCAGTGTCATGTGAGAGAAAAATAAGCTCAAATCGTTTTGTCACTAAAATAATGATAATCGAACGAGAAATTTTCAAGGTAGCAGGTGATTGATCTAACAGTTTTCATGTCTAAATAGGTCCATATTGATGAAGTATATCCATTAAGTCCTATATACTATGTGTTCGAGACTGGAAACTTAACTATGGTTCCAATTACATAGACTAAGTGAATGATTTCCTGAGCAAGAAGGATGCATTGATTATACCTCTCGCATGGCACTAGGCCTCACTTTCATCCTGGCCTTTTCAAAATCTTCAAAAGTCACTTTCAATGTATATTCTTCTGACATAAATATCCCTTTAGAAGTACTACAAACACAATCCTGGATATTATCCGTGATTTCCGACATTGTTCCATTCGGGTGAAAAGACGGTAGAATCTCTGAAGAAATAGGTAAACCTGAGTCACATGAAGAGGCAGAGCCAGAACACTCCCTTGCAGAGTCCTTAACATGTCCTAAATGATCAGATTCTTCCAATATAGTGTCAGAGTGGCCTTCATATGTATTAAGTATTCCACTTAAGTGCAAACTGTCACATGACTTTTCAGACTTAGCATAGCGCCTAAGACATACCAAGGCAGCCTCATTGCAGAGGGCAGCTAGATCAGCACCTACAAAACCATGTGTAGCCGTGGCAAGGTGTTGAACTTGCACGTCTGAAAGAGAATGTTCCATGCCACCAAGAAGTGTATGCAGTATCTCAAATCGTTGGATTGGTGATGGCACACCTGCAGATGAATTTTCAAATGAAAGAAAGAAACTATCATATCTGGAAAAAGATAGCCTCAGGGGATTTTTAGTAAGCATTTGAACCTCTTAAAAAAAAAAAATACAAAAAGGCTTTCTTTGGTCTACTTTTCCAAGTTTCTGCATGGTTCTATAATACTTCTAATTTCATGCATTTCTACTAAACCAACATGTTTAATTAGTATTATCTGTTGAAATTTGTGGACTTGGTGTTTAATCCTTCTCTTCAAAACTTTCAGTCCAAAAACATACAGCAAATGCAAACAAAATGTACATCTTAGTAATCTTTAATAAATTATCACTGGCATAAATAGATAAAGCCCAATGTAATATGCCCATTAAGTACTTCGTACATAAAGTTAAACAAAGAAAATAGTTAGGTTACTAATACTATCATTGATAGACTTCATGTTCCCCTCAAGGATGAACTTGAAACAGAAAGATTTATCAAAGATAGGCTTTTCCAGATTACCGAAGGCAATGTCTCAGGCCAGAAGTTCCTATGAGAAAAATTCTGGTTCTGTTATATCCTTTACCTAGCACTTAGAGCAAAAGAATAGAAGGAGAATGGATTCTATGTTATACAATATGAGCACCCAACAAACTACCAGGCACAAGTAGTCCCTGGTGCACATACCCTAGGTGTAAACAGGACAAATCATTTGGGGCCAGCCCCAAGGTTTCTGTGGTTGGACACCAAGTCAGACTAATATGCTACAAGAAACATGAGGCAAAAGAGCCACTATATCCTTTACTAGATGATTTCTTCAGGAATCATCAGTTAGTGAACCTACCTTAATGTATTGAGGTAAGCAAGTTCAAGATATATCCCAGTTATATATAAGAAAAATGTCTAATTATGCGGATATTAGCTATCAACACTATCATTTCATATGCAAAGTAGTACTGTGCTAGATGTCTGTCATTTAAACAAAATTTCTGAAACTCTTTTACTCTGGATTCATAAGTGGACATGGAGCCTAAACATTTTGAAAATTATGCATGAACACGTGGACCTGTTATAACATTGTGGGGAATCTGAAGATATAAATGGATGTATGGCTAACACTTTGTGTAACACAGTGCGACCAATCAAGCAAAAATCTCAAGCAAAAAGTTAAAGTCTCAGGAAAAAGGTTCCCAACTGGACAATTATATGTAAAAATAAATAACGCAAAAAGAAAATAAATGAAGTAGATTCTCATGTTACCTAATTCAATTTCCCTGTCAAGCCTTCCAGGCCGCCTGAGGGCAGGTTCAATACTATCAGGCCTGTTGGTAGCAGCAATTACAACTAATCCATCAGTTCTACTAATCCCATCTATCAAATTCAACAATGTCGCAACCATCCTTTGAGCGAGCTCTTCACCTCCATCTTTCCGTGCAGGTGCAATGGCATCCAACTCATCAATGAACACCTGAAATATACAGACATTTAAGAAGTAAGTCTATCTGGAATACAACCTTGAAGGTGCAAAAAATACAGAGTCAACTTTACGAGTTACACTTTAGATTCAGAAAAGTTGCGAAAAGTTAAACATAATACATAAGTATTCAGCAATAATATTGGCTGCATCTAGCTATCAGAGAACAAACACATAGAAATGAGGTCCTAAATTCAAGAAAATAACTTATCAAGTCGGAATATAAAACAAAAAGCCAACTGATGTAAAACTGCTAAACAATGTATGCACTTCCACAAACATGAAAAGGGATACTTGAGATGAAAATGGCCAGAAGTCATGCTCAATATCACTAATGCAAATTTTAGGAGTAAAATAGGCTAAGAGTCTGGTTCTCGTGCATCTGCAACATGTTTGAGCCACGCATTCAACTCTTCAAACTACAGGGTAATGATCATTGGAAAAGAGAGAGAGAGAGAGAGAGAGAGAGAGAGAGAGAGAGAGAGAGAGAGAGAGAAAGAAGGAACAAGAACTTGGGTGTCCTCAAGAGAAGAGAACTAACCATGGCAGGAGCAGCTTTGCTAGCCGAATCAAAAACTCCATGCAGTGCTTGCTCACTTTCACCACAATTTTGACTTACGATCTCAGGTCCGTTTATGGTGAAAAGGTTGACACAAGCATCATAGGCACAAAGTTGAGCCAAAGAAGTTTTTCCCGTGCCAGGTGGACCATGAAGAAGCACTCCTTTTGTAGGTCGTAAACCAAGACTAAAATAGTAATATCATATATTAATATTTAATTTTCAACAAATGAAACCACAAGAATGTTAAAACATATGCATGCTTAAAATTTTGCCAGAATATAAGAAGCTGAAGGTATAACAAAATATTCAATAGATAAAAATAAATAAAATAGGGATAAAAAAGACAGGCAGAGGAGTATTGAAAAGAGCTATGCATGACTAAAAGAAATTACAGCAGCACTGAAAATCTTAACAGAAGAAGATAATGGAAAAAGAAATACCATCATGTATCTTGGTCATTGCATTAGAATGTTAGCGTGTAATGATCAAGCTTGAATTGAAAGAGTTACATGGATACATAGACCTTCTAGGCACTCCTAATTTGAGGGAGGTGAGGGGCAAGGCCTAAAATTTATAACTCAGCCTAACAAGCTTACAGCTACTAGTTAAATTGAAAATTGATCTAATAAGATTGCCAGAGTACCCCCTATCTATATATCTTTTGCTCAGTAAGATCTCAAATTTAAGACAACAATGGAAAACTATTTGAATCTGACATGAAAACAAAATTTCTTCAGAGTAAATTATAATCAGTATGAAACTTGGCAATTTGCAATTTAATTGTTAAACCTTTCTTGAACATACATGTTTATGTCCATTGTCTTAATTTTAAATTGACTCTCCAATATGGAATATTTATGGATAGTAATATTTATTATGCACTAACATAGGAGAGAAAAACCCACTACTTAAGAAAATGAAAAGGTAAAATTTGGTTACACAACTTACCCTGACAAAGTATCCTTCACAGATGAAGAAATAATAATATCCTTCAAAATTGCACACTCTTTAGATAAACCACCCAATTTTGAAGTATTACATTCTTCACTTGCTCTCAAATCCTGAGGTTCAATTTTCAAATGTGGCAAAGCTCCTTTCTGTGAAGATTCAGATACTGAATTCAATGCTGAATACAGATATATTTTTGTCTCACGGTTAACAACAAAGGCATCATTCTCACAGACGTCTGATTCAGAAGCTTGAGGGAACAGACTCTGACTTCTATCACTAGTCAAATCTTTAGTACTATCTGCTGGAAGCATAATAGCACCTATCACAAGGAACATGCAATGCTCCACAGGTATGGGGATGGCCACAAGATTTCCATAGAGCAAACTACGAGAGTACAACCATGAAGCAGCACAGGTCTGCAGAAGCTTTTTAGCACTTTCATCCTTTAATACCTCTAAAATATCAAATGAATCAAGAGATGTACTATTCACGTTGAGTGAATTAGACACTGGATATTCACATATTGGTGAAGCTAACTGATTAACAGTTGGAGAACTGAGCTTTGACTGATATGACGGTGTCTTAGGGGATGACACGATCCCATTTCCAAGTTGATCATGACTTTTTCCAGCAGAAGCATGCATTGTAGAGAACATATCACTGTTCATTTTCACTCTGTCCTTAAAAGAAACCAGCTTTAAGTGCAATTCTTTGCAGGCATGTAGCGAGAGATGATTAACGTCTCTCTTATGTAGTTTATCACTACCATTTACTGGACCACTTAGGAACTGATTCTGTACAGCATAAACAAACACAACCCTGCCTGAAGCAGGACAACCCATTGAGTATGAAAGGTTAGATGACAATCGTACTCCATTCTTCAAAACCTAAAAAAAAAAAAAGATAAAGTAGATTAGTATGATAAATCAAGGTTACAATAAATTATCAACAACTTGATTACCACAATCCCAAGGTTACGATAAATCTTCTATATCTATCAACTATAAAATACTATATTATCAAGATAGTTGTGGAGAGAATCTTAAGGCACACCAAGGCCAAATCTTATGTCGTTGAATCATTCATCAATACTTTGGCTTCTTCTTTAACCTCTATTTTCCCAGTTGCTATAATGAAAAACATAGCAAAAGCCAAAAAAAGAAAAAAGAAAAAAGAAAAAAAAATGATACAGTAATATAATTATTATTCAAACCTTGCAAGAAGGAAAAACTGTAGCAAGAGCAAAGTAGTTGCCCACTTCATTAGCAGTTTGATCCAAAGAATCAATCCTGAATTGTTGGACACATTCATCTCCTAGTGAACTGAGAGGAAAACTATTTAAAGATCTCTTCCCTGAAGCAAAAAGTGACACCTGCAAGTGAGATTAGAATGATAATTCAGAAGCTGAAATTAGTAAGAAACCAACTCTTAAGATTTGAACAACTTACTACATCTATGAAAAGAAAACGTGTAGAAGCAATTACAAGTTAACAAAAATAAAAAATAAAAAAATAAACCTAGATGTTAAAGTAAAGTCAAATAAAGAAACAAAAACAGGAAAGAAGTCCATATTTGAGAAGAAGTAAAATTTCTGCAGCAATTAACATCTGATATAAGAAATGAAAGTGATAGATTACCGAAACAATGGAACCAGGAGCAAGGTTAGATGCAAGCATGGAGGACTCAGAAAGCCAAATTTTACAGCCCCCGGACCCAGTCTCAACATCAGTGACATGGCCAATGAAAGCAGACTTGCCAATCAGTGAAGGGTATCGACTCGAAGCCTCTTCAAGAATGATTTGGAAATCTTCTTCACGAACTAGAGAATCAGAAGAAGAGATCAATGAAGGTGTTCTAGGAGATGCAGACGGGTCAGAATTTGAGAGTCTGGAAGGTGTCTTTGATTGCTTCTTAGCCTTCGAAGGCATCTCTTCCTTTAAAACCCAGTATCTGCAAACAGGTCATAGAATCGAAATTTTGATCCGACTGAAGAGGAGTCCAGTATGCGCAAGAAATTTTATGCAGCAGAGAGAAAGAGGCGTTTAAATGTTAAACCCTGGTAGAGCCGTAGAGGGTTTAGAAGCAGAGGCGATGTGTTTGTTGGTACTTGGTCGAGATTGGACAGCACAAAACAACAAAGCTACAGTAAATTTTGCACTGAAATTTGTATAGGTTTATGGCTCACACCACGCCTAATTTTTTTATAATTATTTTTGTTAATGAAATATAGATGACTGTTCACTCACATAGATTCTCGTTTGATGGATGGTGGGCCATTTACTATAAACGGGTATTCTGATCCGTTCATAAATAAAATGAAATAATTTTTTTTATAAAAATTAAGGACAGTCATACTTTTATTTTAGACGGATACTAACAAATAAAAACACCCATCTTCAACCAAAATATAAAAAAAATAAAATAAAATTTAGGACGTCTTAAGTTAATGGACGCCCCTCCATACTTAAAAAAAAAAAAAAAAATCTTCTTCATCGCCATCTCCTCTCTTTTTCTTCGTATACATTCCCCATCTCCTCGCTTAATGGACAACTTGACACACTGATACATTTCTTCTTGGTTTTATTCTTTTAACTACTCTCCGTCATTCCGCCACCGACCTCAAATACTCTCCGCTCATCTGCGCCTTCGCCCTCTTCACCAACTCCACTGCATACCCCAGTCCACTGCCACACAAACTCCCCGCCTTCGCACATGCGGCGGGGTATCCAAAAGCATTCCCGTAATAGCCCTGAGGAAGAGGAATTCCACTGCGGCTCTCCGCCGCGGTAACCACACGAAAGCGTTGCGGTTAATGAAGAAGTCCTGTTCCCGCCATGAGAACTCAGCTTATGTGGCCCTGATTCACCGTGTACAAGGCACTGTATGTGTGAAAGTGGCGTCGATCATCGATGATTTGAACTCGAAACAACGGCATTTGAGGAACGCACTCGAATCAGCAAAGAAAGCCGTGGAGTTATCGCCTAACTCGATGGAATTCGCGCACTTTTACTCGAATCTATTGTACGAGGCCGCTAATGACGGCAAAGAATACGAAGAGCGGAAGAGGTAGTTCAAGAGTGTGAGCGTGCGTTAGCTATGGAGAATCCTGTAGATCCTGCTGAAGAGAGCTTACAGGATGAGAGTCAGCAAAAAATTTTGATAGTAGAAGCGCGAATTGCGCACGCGCAGAGTGAGCTAAGGAGCTTGATACAGAAATCGAACATTGCTTCGATTTCTACATGGATGAGGAACTTAGGGACTGGTGAGGAGAAGTTTAGGTTGATTCCTATTAGGAGAGTGACTGAGGACCCAATGGAAGTTAGGTTAGTTCAAGCTAGGAGACCCAATGAGATTAAAAAAGCAACCAAAACTCCAGAAGAGAGACGAAAAGAGATTGAGGTTAGGGTTGCTGCAGCTAGATTGTTGCAACAAAAATCAGAGAAGGGACAGTTGCAACAAAATAATGATGGGAAGAGGACTATGGATTCCGGTTTGGTAGGGACTGAGAAAAGAGATAGAGAGAGGAGGAAGTTTGGAAGTAATGTGCGAAAAAATGGGTCGAAAGAGGAGAGGCAGAATTTTGTAAAATCATATTGGAATTCCATGAGTTTGGAAATGAAGAAGGAGTTGCTTAGGGTCAGGATTTCTGATGTTAAAGCCCATTTTGGGTCACTGAAAGATGGCTTGGCGAGTGAGGTTTTAGCAGAGGCATTGATATTCGCGGAGGAGAATAAGACTTGGAGGTTTTGGGTTTGTTGTAGGTGTAATGAGAAGTTTGCGGATTCAGAGTCACATATGCACCATGTTGTGCAGGAACATATGGGGAATTTGTTGCCTAAAATGCAAGCAGTCTTGCCTCAGAGTGTTGATAATGAGTGGATTCAAATGATTCTTAATTGTTCTTGGAAGCCATTGGATATTCTAGAAGCTGTCAAAATGCTTGCACGGAATCAATCAAAATCCCAAGATTCTGAAGTTGGTGAAGATTTCTACTCAGGGAACCATAATGAGGAGTGTGATGATTGCTTCAAAGATGCATGGGATTCTTGACCTGAGAAGGAAAATTTAGGGGATAGTTATAAGTTTAGTGTTGTTGAGGGCAATGATTGTGAAAAAAATTTGAGCATCCAGTGCAAAGAATGCGATGGTAACCAAGGATCTATTGTATATCCTGTGATTGATAGTTGGCCAGTGTCTGATGACACTGAGCGTGCAAAGCTCCTTAAAAGAAAAAGAGAGGAGATGGCGAAGAAGAAGAAGAGGTGTTTACTGTTTAGAATGTTTTTTTTTTTTTTTTTTTTTTTAAAGTATGGACGAATGGACGCCCGTTCAAACTTAAGGGACGTCGGTCCAAACTTAAGGGATGGCCGTTCAAAATTTATGGACGGCCATCCGCAAAATTTTTTTTTTTTATTTTCATATTTTGGTTAAGGACGGGCGTCCCTTATTTGCGGGCGCCCGTCCAAAATGAAGGGACGGTCGTCCATAACGGATGAACGGTCGTCCCTAATTTTTATAAAAAAAAATTATTCTATTTTACTTATGGATGGGCGTCCTTTAAATGGGGACGCCCGTCCGTAGTAAATGGACCCCCGTCCATCAAATATGGACAGGAGTCCATGTGAGTGAACGGCCGTCCATATTTGATGGATGGTCGTTCACTAGAAAAATCAGGCGTGGTGTGAGTCAAGGGTACACGTAGGCCAGTACAGATTTTCGGTGCAAAATTTTTGGTGTCCGTAGCTTTGTTGTTATCAAAAAATTAGGCGTGGTGTGAGTCAGGTGTACACATAGGTCGGTACAAATTTTCGGTGTCCGTAGCTTTGTTGCAGCACAAAAACATGGTACAGCCTTAAAGGGTTTGTTTAGAAGTTTTTTTTTTTCAATGGTATTTAAACTGGTTTAAAGGTGTTCTAAAATTATTATTTATCAAATTTTTTATACACTAATTTTGACCAATTAAAAACCCCTTAAAATTTTGAGGGTTTGGTTTTAAAATTTTATTTCATAAATACCTTATCTGCTACAAAATTATCCCAATTATATCCGAAAAAAATTTTAACCGTATTATGCATACGCTAACCATATTAAATATAAAATAATTTTAAAAAATCATAAAAAAAAATTATTAAAATCTCATTTCTAAATGCTTTCTTGAAGAAGCAGATTTACAATTTTTCAATCATTTCAAATGCTACAAAGAATGGCGAAGAAGGATAATAAGACTTTATTACATTTGAAGTTATAAAATACCAATACGTAGAAAACAAATAAAGAACTCTTACCTTGTGTTAGGGCCAAAACTCGTCCTTGGCCCAAATAGGAAAGCAGGACCATTTATGAAGAGAAGACCATGCCTAAATCCCAGAGAGGCCCAAGCCAGATTAGTCCCATTCGATATGAGATACGGCCTGCCCAAACCTTCTGGGCACGGGCCTCCCAGTTCCAGTTCACTTTATGGGCCTATAGGCGAGTTCCGAGCCCACGGCCCACTGATCATATTCTTGTCCCTGATCAATCTCCTACTCGAAGTCATTCTCCTGTTCTGAACACTTTCCTGCTCAAAGTTACTTTCCTGATCAGAATCACTTTCCTATCCGGACACTGGTAAGACAGCTTACCACATCCCTAATTCTTCTAGGGTTTGCATCAGAATCACATTAGGACTCCTACTCCCACCAGGATTGAGAGATTAGACAGTCACTATATAAACAGAGGTCAGCCTTCTCATAAAGGACACACTACATTACACCTTCACACCCGAAGCTCCTACTCGAGAGTTTTACATCACTGCCGTAGTCACAGTCCCCGACTAGACTTCCGGTAACCTCTTTACTCCCTAGCCCTCACTATACTAGCCTCTTTCAGTCTTGCTGACTTGAGTGTCGGAGTCCTACGGCAAACACCACCCCGGTGTTTCTCGTTCACTTCACGCGTTTGTTTTTCTACGTGTGTAAGTACAGCGGATCGCTAGTGGCCTCAACCTCACGAGATCAAACCCCCTTTCCGTACAGGTAGATTTTTATGTCTACACCTTGTAATTGAAAAAACAAAACTCCCAAATACTGGTTGAAGTTAAATATTTTTATGTGCATATATATAAATTTATCATTTTAAAAAATTGTCAAAACCGTTATAAAATAAACTTTCAAGCACAAGTTAAGTGTTTTAAAAACCGCTACTAAAAACATCTCAAAACCGCTACGGTGGTTTACCCTCAAAACCACTACAGTGGTTTACCTTAATAACCGTTACCATGAAACTTCCCTGCGGACTCTAATTTGTTTTCAAGGTTTTAAAACCCGACCCGGGGAGTGACCTGGTCAGGTCACTGGGTCCCAAGTTGATCGGTCGAATCGGTTCAACCATCAGGTCAAATTGTGATGTCATCATGCTGATGTTAGTGTGATGACGTCATTCTAACATCAACATAACATATAAAAAAATTAAAAAAATAATAAAAATGTGGTTCAACTGCCGGGTCGAACCGATTGGACTGGCGGTTTGTAACAAAAAACTAGTCCAATCGCGATTCAAACTAGGTCATTTAATATTTTCGGTTATTTAATCGAATTAACCTGGCTCGATTATCATTCTAGGTTAACCGATTGAACCGGCCAGTCCGACCGGATTTTAAAACCTTGATTTTTTTAACCCGTGTTTGGAGAGTGTCCCGGCTGTACTGAATGTATTTTTAGTTATACTCCCAGCGCACAAGGGCCACGGGTCTATTTTCTGTACTGTGCGATTATTAATGATTTTGCACTTACTTAAATCTATTGAAAAATGAAAAATAAGCATATACAAATTATTAATAAATACATCTTATTGTTTTAATAATTTAATAACATAATTTATATTATTAAATATTATAAAATAAATAGGAAATTCATATATTTAATTAATTTATATTCAAATTAATTTATCAATGGAATTTGGATCGATCATTATGTAAATAATTTTGTTTAATATAATATTTTATAAGTAAGGCTACGTATACAAAGTATTTATAAAATTATTTTTTACAAACTGAGAATAGCCTTTATGTTTATAGTTGTTTTAAAGAAAAATTACATGGAGAATCCGACAAGCTACAGTAAATTTTGCACTGAAATTTGTATAGGTTTATGGCTCACACCACGCCTAATTTTTTTATAATTATTTTTGTTAATGAAATATAGATGACTGTTCACTCACATAGATTCTCGTTTGATGGATGGTGGGCCATTTACTATAAACGGTATCTGATCCGTTCATAATAAAATGAAATAATTTTTATAAAAATTAAGGACAGTCAACTTTTATTTTAGACGGATACTAACAAATAAAAACACCCATCTTCAACCAAATATAAAAAAAATAAAATAAAATTTAGGCGTCTTAAGTTAATGGCCGCCCCTCCATACTTAAAAAAAAAAAAAAAAATCTTCTTCATCGCCATCTCCTCTCTTTTTCTTCGTATACATTCCCCATCTCCTCGCTTAATGGACAACTTGACACACTGATACATTTCTTCTGGTTTTATTCTTTTAACTACTCCGTCATTCCGCCACCGACCTCAAATACTCTCCGCTCATCTGCGCCTTCGCCCTCTTCACCAACTCCACTGCATACCCCAGTCCACTGCCACAAAACTCCCCGCCTTCGCACATGCGGCGGGTATCCAAAAGCATTCCCGTAATAGCCCTGAGGAAGAGGAATTCCACTGCGGCTCTCCGCCGCGGTAACCACACGAAAGCGTTGCGGTTAATGAAGAAGCCTGTTCCCGCCATGAGAACTCAGCTTATGTGGCCCTGATTCACCGTGTACAAGGCACGGTATGTGTGAAAGTGGCGTGATCATCGATGATTTAACTCGAAACAACGGCATTTGAGGAACGCACTCGAATCAGCAAAGAAGCCGTGGAGTTATCGCCTAACTCGATGGAATTGCGCACTTTTACTCGAATCTATTGTACGAGGCCGCTAATGACGGCAAAGAATACGAAGAGCGGAAGAGGTAGTTCAAGAGTGTGAGCGTGCGTTAGCTATGGAGAATCCTGTAGATCCTGCTGAAGAGAGCTTACAGGATGAGAGTCAGCAAAAAATTTTGATAGTAGAAGCGCGAATTGCGCAGCGCAGAGTGAGCTAAGGAGCTTGATACAGAAATCGAACATTGCTTCGATTTCTACATGGATGAGGAACTTAGGGACTGGTGAGGAAAGTTTAGGTTGATTCCTATTAGGAGAGTGACTGAGGACCAATGGAAGTTAGGTTAGTTCAAGCTAGACCCAATAGATTAAAAAGCAACCAAAACTCCAGAAAGAGACGAAAAGAGATTGAGGTTAGGTTGCTGCAGCTAGTTGTTGCAACAAAAATCAGGCGGGACTTGCAACAAAATAATGATGGGAAGAGGACTATGGATTCCGGTTTGGTAGGGACTGAGAAAAGAGATAGAGAGAGGGAAGTTGGAAGTAATGTGCGAAAAATGGGTCGAAAGAGGAGAGGCAGAATTTGTAAAATCATATTGGAATTCCTGAGTTTGGAATGAAGAGGAGTTGCTTAGGGTCAGGATTTCTGATGTTAACGCCATTTTGGTCACTGAAAGATGGCTTGGCGAGTGAGGTTTTAGCAGAGGCATTGATATTCGCGGAGGAATAAGACTTGGAGGTTTTGGGTTTGTTGTAGGTGTAATGAAGAATTGCGGATTCAGAGTCACATATGCACCATGTTGTGCAGGAACATATGGGGAATTTGTTGCCTAAAATGCAAGCAGTCTTCTCAGAGTGTTGATAATGATGGATTCAAATAGTCTTAATTGTTCTTGGAAGCCTGGATATTCTGAAGTGTATGTCAAAATGCTTGCAGGAATCAATCAAAATCCCAATTCTGAAGTTGGTGAAGATTCTACTCAGGGAACCATAATGAGAGTGTGATGATGCTTCAAAGATGCATGGGATTCTTGACCTGAGAAGGAAAATTTAGGGGATAGTTATAAGTTTAGTGTTGTTGAGGGCAATGATTGTGAAAAAAATTTGAGCATCCAGTGCAAAGAATGCGATGGTAACCAAGGATCTATTGTATATCCTGTGATTGATAGTTGGCCAGTGTCTGATGACACTGAGCGTGCAAAGCTCCTTAAAAGAAAAAGAGGAGGAGATGCGACGAAGAAGAAGAGGGTTTTACTGTTTAGAAGTTTTTTTTTTTTTTTTTTTTTTTTTTTTTAAAGTATGGACAATGGACGCCCGTTCAAACTTAAGGGACGTCGGTCCAAACTTAAGGGATGGCCGTTCAAAATTTATGGACGGCCATCCGCAAAATTTTTTTTTTTTATTTTCATCATATTTTGGTTAGGGACGAAACGCCGGGGGGGCGTTGTTTCCCATTATTTGCGTGTGGTGGGTTTGCGGCGCACCGGCCCAAAATGAGGGGGGGAGAGGAAACGGAAAAAGGGAAGGTTGTTTTTGGGTTTTGCGGGCTTCGCCGTGCCAAAATGAGACGGGGGTGAACGGGGGGGCGAAACAGGGACGGCCCGAAACGGTTTCCGTCCATAACGATGAACGCGTCGTGTGCCCTATGTTTAATTATAAAAAAAAGATTATTCAATTTTTACCAACTACTTATTGTATGGGCGTCCTTTAAAAAAATGGGGGACGGCCGGGAAAGACGGGGGAACGGCCCGTCCGTATTAAATGGTGAACCCCACCAACCCCCCCAGCCCCAAACCCCCCCCCCCCCCCCCCCCCCCCCCCCCCGTCCATAAAGAAAACGTGTAGAAGCAATTACAAGTTAACAAAAATAAAAAATAAAAAAATAAACCTAGATGTTAAAGTAAAGTCAAATAAAGAAACAAAAACAGGAAAGAAGTCCATATTTGAGAAGAAGTAAAATTTCTGCAGCAATTAACATCTGATATAAGAAATGAAAGTGATAGATTACCGAAACAATGGAACCAGGAGCAAGGTTAGATGCAAGCATGGAGGACTCAGAAAGCCAAATTTTACAGCCCCCGGACCCAGTCTCAACATCAGTGACATGGCCAATGAAAGCAGACTTGCCAATCAGTGAAGGGTATCGACTCGAAGCCTCTTCAAGAATGATTTGGAAATCTTCTTCACGAACTAGAGAATCAGAAGAAGAGATCAATGAAGGTGTTCTAGGAGATGCAGACGGGTCAGAATTTGAGAGTCTGGAAGGTGTCTTTGATTGCTTCTTAGCCTTCGAAGGCATCTCTTCCTTTAAAACCCAGTATCTGAAAACAGGTCATAGAATCGAAATTTGGATCCGACTGAAGAGGAGTCCAGTATGCGCAAGAAATTTTATGCAGCAGTGAGAAAGAGGCGTTTAACTGTTAAACCCTGGTAGAGCCGTAGAGGGTTTAAAAGAAGAGGCGATGTGTTTGTTGGTACTTGGTCGAGATTGGACAGCACAAAAAGATGGTACAGCCTTAAGGGTTTGTTTAGAAGTTTTTTTTTTCAATGGTTTTTTAACTGGTTGTTTTAAAATCATTATTTATCACATTTTTTATACACTAATTTTCACCAGTGAAAAACCCCTCAGAATTTTGAGGGTTTGGTTTTAAAATTTTATTTCATAAATATCTTATCTATTACAAAATCATTTCAATTATATCCGAAAAAAATTTTAACCATATTATATGTACTCTAACTATATTAAATAAAAAATAATTTTAAAAAATCATAAAAAAAAATTATTAAAATCTCATTTTTAAATGCTTTCTTGAATAAGTAGATTTATAATTTTTTAATAATTTCAAATGCTACAAAGAATGGCCAAAAAAGACAAAGAAATTTTATTACATTTGAAGTTATAAAATACTAATAAGTAGAAAACAAATAAAGAACACTTACCTTGTAATTGAAAAAACAAAACTCTCAAATACTGGTTGAAGTTAAATATTTTTATGTGTGTATATATAAATTTATCATTTTAAAAAACTGTCAAAACCGCTAGAAAATAAACTCTCAAGTACAAGTTAGATGTTTTAAAAACCACTACTAAAAACATTTCAAAACTACTACGGTGGTTTACCCTCAAAACCACTACAGTGGTTTACATTTATAACCATTACCATGAAACCTTCCCGCGGACCCTAATTTGTTTTCAAGGTTTTAAAACCCGACCCGGAAAGTGACCTAGTCAGGTCACTAGGTCCTAGGTTGACCGATCAAACCGGTTCAACCGTCGGGTCAAACTGTGATGTCATCATGCTGATGTTAGTGTGATGACATCATTCTGACGTCAGCATAACATATATAAAAATTAAAAAAGTAATAAAAATGTGGCTCAACCGCCGGATCAAACCGATTGGATTAGTGGTTCGTAACAAAAAAACTAGTTCAACCGCGATTCAAACTGAGTCATTTAATATTTTCAATTATTTAGTCGAATTGGCCCGACTTGATTACCGATTCCAGGTTAACCGGTTGAACCGGCCAATCCGGTCGGGTTTTAAAACCTTTATTTTTTTAACCCGTGTTTGGAGAGTGTCCCGGCTGTACTGAATGTATTTTTAGTTACACTCCCAGCGCACAAGGGCCACGGGTCCATTTTCTGTACTGTGCGATTATTCATGGTTTTGCACTTACTTAAATCTATTGAAAAATAAAAAATAAGCATATACAAATTATTAATAAATACATCTTATTGTTTTAATAATTTAATAACATAATTTATATTATTAAATATTAAAAAATAAATAGGAAATTCATATATTTAATTAATTTATATTCAAATTAATTCATCGATGGAATTTGGATCGATCATTATGTAAATAATTTTGTTTAATATAATATTTTATAAGTAAGGCTACGTATACAAAGTATTTATAAAATTATTTTTTACAAACTGAGAATAGCCTTTATGTTTATAGTTGTTTTAAAGAAAAATTACATGGAGAATCCGATCCAACTTTTTTTTTTTTTTTTTTAAAGAGTGAGTAAATTTTAAAAATAATTAATATTTGTTTGAACGTTTGATAAATACTTTTAACAAGGTATTGAAATAAATGTATCTTAATTGTTATTTTTATTCATTGAATTAATAAAGATAGATAGCTTATAAGAAGTGTTAAAAGTTAAATTAAAAAATTAAGTTCCAACCCAGTTTAAATATTTATTTGTATAAACAGTTACATATTGTACAAAAAAAAATACACAGTTTAATATATACAGTTCAAGAGATCGTGAGAATTATTAATAAGAGTGATCACTAAGAGGATTTGCCCAAAATAACTATTCAGCCTTTGGCAAATAATTACATTCCCCTGTAACTCCTCCAGTTCTAGAGTAAGAACATAATTCTTCTTCCTGCTATTTTTTGTTATCTTCTCAAGGACCTCAACGTTAGGTAGATGAACAATGTTGGTGAATTCTATTCATCTTTTTCTTCATCTTCATCTTCATAGTACATGAATGGCAATGGTACTGATTTGAATGCACGATACTTGCCAACATTGTTCAAATGCTCATTCTCCAACCTGCAGGCCAAATAATTAATAACAAGAGTGTTCTGAACTAACTCTTATCATGGCAGCAGCATTAAGCATATTTACCTGAAGAAATTCCATATACCGCGACGAATAACCTCTAGGCTTGCAGCAATTGCTATCAAAGTTTCACTATGTAAGAAAGACAACTGCGAGTCCAACACAGTCTGCAGCCAGGCAAACCTTAGCAACACATTCAAGACCTACATTTTTCATCAAACTTTTGTTAGAATCTACGCGCCATCTCGTAACTTATCGATCTCGCAGATTCAAACAGTTGACAGGTAAAGGCACAGCATTAATACAGAAGATTTAATAATTCTGGACTAACCATGGCTACAAAATACACAGTTTTGCTAGGGATAAGGAGTTTGTCTCGCAACCAGCGATTTTTAGATTTGTGTTGCAGAAGTCCCCAGTCAACGACAAGGTCCCAATATGTACCATAGAGTGCTGCAATGGCTGAAAATATCCCGGAGATTATTTTCCAGCTCATTCCCTTGTAAAGACAGTAAGCAGTTCTTGTACTAATGGCTACCACTGTCAAGAAGTAGTTCAACCCATTACATATGTGCATTGTATCTCTTTCTTCATAGAGGCGTCGAAAGCACTGAAAATGGATAAAAATATTAAGCATAAGTCTCCATGAGCAACTTCGAGGGATGAAATAGTTTTTATTGAGTGAAATTTTGGAAGTGTATGATTGATTATTGAATAAATTTACCTGAAGGAAGCGAGACATGTATGGAATCACAGCAACAATGAAATAGAAAGTTTTGTATACATCATTTGTTCTGCAAGTGTTTTCTCTGCTTTCATAGTCTCCCCAACCATAACGGCAGATGTAGAATTCCAGGTTTCTAAACGCTTGAACCTGTAACATTATACAAAATGTGTTAAATTTATTAATTAATATTTCTGTGATCATTCGCAGCATAGGCCATTTCACCAACCTGGCTAGTTAACTGCTCCGCCAAGAAGAAATCTTGGAGTGTCACCTACAGTAGAAAAATATGCATATATATAATTAGCATTTTCATCCATTTATGTTCAGTTTCTCTGATCTTATGCTTGTTTGCAAGTATTTTAATATGTTTATACCTTGTAGAGGGGAGCACAGATGCAGTGAAACAAACACCGCAGGAAAAAGAAGCGACTTGAGCGGTATATGACGTTACAAGGAAAAATCAGTATGACAATCAGAAGCTGCAAGAATGGAAGACACTGGTTTTAGTGCATATTTCAGAACTTGAGCAGAAAAAAGTTGTGTAATTAAGGTTAGTAACTTTACCAAAACCAAGCCTAAAGGGAGAAGCTCAGTCAGGGTTTTGTAATCATGTGTTTCGGAGTCCATTTCCATGTCGAGATTCGCAAGCACACTGGTTAGAGTTAGTACTGAAAGACCAAAACCGAGAAGAAGAACCTCCCTGTATCCCAGCTCAGTGCCTTGTTTGAAACCAAAAATGAAGGGATAATTGACTCGGAACCGCCTCCAGAAGTATATATTTGCAGCATATATAATCATGTGTAACACAATGAGTGCGAAGAAGCTGCAAAAGTTTGCTCATGATTTGTCAAGTAAATCTACATCATATTTCCTTTATGCTATATGAGAAGTTTGAAACGAAAATGGTATTGCGGTTATCTTTGTTTTCTTACCTGTAAAGAGGAAAAATGTCTTTCATATATTGGTTTTTTCCTCTCTTATCCAAGAGATCGCGTGCATGAATGATGAAGATAAGGGCTATAATGAGAGCAATTAAGCAACCAAAACAGAAACCTGAAAAGATTTTCAATCAACAGAAAATTAAGAGCAAGGAAACCAACAAGCAAAGATCGTTTCAGTTGTCCAAAAATATTTGGAAGTTGGAAATCTCACCTAGAGAAAATGTTATGCCATGCCTTTCTTTCTTAGCCTTTGGTCTCAAGATTTGCATACCTTTGCTACGGTTTGAATTTGAGAAATACTTGATAAATGCATCTTCCACTCTCTCCATAAGCTTTGTTACCTTCAATTTGTACAAGCATAGGAAAAAAGCAGTGCCCCATCAGTAAACAGTCTTAATTCTTATAGATTATTGAATTTAAATCAATCCAAACTAATTTTACTTCATCAGAACTGCCAAGATAAGAGTTGTCCACCATTTTTATATAAGAAACTGATGCCTTTCTTGAAGTAATCTGCAACAATCAGGCAACAAAATTATGTGAAAACAAAAGTGGTTTCTTGTAATAGTCGGGATCAAAGTTGTTTCACAGGACACCTACCTTATCGTATTTCTTCATGATTTTTGAAAAGGCTAGCACATTCATGAAACTGTTTACAATTGCAATCAAGAACAATAAATACAATTTTTTTTTTCTTAAAAAAGAAAATTACCCTACTATGTAAGTTACAAAATTGTTACCCACCTGTAGCTCTTAAGATGCCTAATCTTCCTATAATATTCAATAAACGCCTGCTTAAGTTGGTTCTCCACTTTGTTTAGATTTTCCCTACTAATTGTAACCTCTGTCTCCTCAGGATTAACACTGACACAACCTTTAATGAACTCACTGGGAGTGTCAAGAGTTCTTTTAAGCTTCACATGGTCAAGTATTTCTAGTAATTGAACGTGTTTAAAGCCCCCATTATTATCCTGCTCTTGTTCTTGATTTTCCTCCCGGATAGTATTTATCTGCCTATCAGACTTTTCATCATTTGATTTCGATGGAAGAGGCGAATCAAGAAGTCCTTGCAACTTATTCACTTTGATCCGGAAAGCAATCAAGGCATTCATTTGCTTAGTAAGATTTTCAGCCTCGGCCATCAACTCTTGAACCTTGAACCTGTAGAATTTGTCAACTTTATTGAACTCATAATCAAGCCTTCTGAAGAATTCCTGCTCCCACTCCCCTCCTTCCTCCGCAAGCTTAAGAAATGTAGTCTCCAGAATTTCGGAGCCATCTTCCTCGACAAAACTTACAAGAATGAATTGGTTGTCATTGTGATCTTTCCTGGATGGGCTTGTGGGGTTGTTCTGTCTCTGTATTAAACCACTGAAAGCTCGGTAAAGTGTTGCAGCTCGCTCTAGTCCTGCTGGTCTTGCGGCTTGCCTGTTTCTCTGCTTCAGGCGTAGGATTTCCTTCAAAAGGGTCTTTAGATAATTATAATTCATGTAAGCTTTCTGCCATTCGGGTACCATTTGAGCTACAAATTCCTTCCCAAACTTCATCTTTTCAGTTTTCACAAGAAAATTGCATGAATTTATTAAAAGTATTTTTTGGAATAAGCTTTATTATGAAGAGGTGTAATATCTAGTAGAACACTAGTGAATTTGTAAATCTTCTTGTGTTTATATAGCTAATGAGTAAGTGAACAAGGAGAATAAAGAATGAAAATGAACAAAATCTTTGAGTGAGATGCTCTCGGAAAAAGATAACCAAATATTATTGACCTTAGTATATTCTAAATTGTCATAATATAATTGTTGTTTTAAAGAGAAAAATGTAAGGAAATTCATTTTCAATACTGAAAAAGTGACTGATGTTTCATATTTCAGTTCATGCAAAGGGTGATTGATTGAAGTACAAGTTATCTCATGTTGACCATTAATTTTTAAAATATTCTATCTTGTATTTGAGGAAAGAATCAAAATCCAGGATATTATTTCAAAAAGCACACCAATTAAATTCTGGACTTTGATAATTCTTCGCTTGAAATTTCTAAAGTGAAGAGTCTTCTACAGGAGCACCGAACACGGTTATTTACCTCAGCAAAGTGGTTAATGAGACAGTAAAGAAAGTCAAGATTACATTAAGAAACAGCTAGAAGAGCATAGTACCAGAACCTTTAATTAGCGTCAATGAGAATGACGATACGATCTTCATTAATCCATTTCTATTTAACGAAGTTTCATTGAGATATACACGCAATTTTATTATAAACTATATTTTATAAATTGCCTTTTTATTCCTACGTCGACGTCTTACTCGTTCATGTTGAAATGATTTTGTGTTTCCCCGTGTCCCAAGTATTTAGAACGGGTCGTTAAGCTTAAGATAAAGACAAATACTTTTTAATATTTGGATATATATGAATCATATACATATGGAGTTGGGGTATAATTCTATTATAAAAGTTCTATTTCTTATTTTTATTAATAAATAAATACTTTTATCATCATATTCAGAGTGGATCCAGCCTAGTTTTGACTCACCCTCAATTTTTTTTTTTAAATACTAAAATGTATAATTTCTAAATTTTGACCTACTTTAACAAAAATATTAATGTGTAATTAATTTTTATTTTGATCTATTCTAAGAGAAATTTCTAGATCCGCTACCAATCATATTCATATAGGAGGGTTGAAATTTAATAAATGTATTGGTAAAATATGTATGATTTTTATCCATAAATGTTTACTTCTAATTTAAAGTGAAACTGAGTAGAAATTGAGAATTCATAATAAATCAAATGATAATATTATTAAATGTGCTTATATCGAGTCTATGACAATGTTTGAGAGTTGATCATTATTATTTTTAAAAACTATGAAAATTGGTGCATAAAAAATTCTGTGAATGTAATTAGAGAATAGACGTGAAACAATTTAATTGAATTATGATTAGCAAAACATGAAACAAATAACATTGAATTTGAAACCAATAAAATCCAATATTAATAGCAATAGATTCGGAACATTTAACTTAGGATTAAAATGTATAAATAAAACTTGAAAATCATAATATAAAACCTACAACTATTAACTTTGAACTTGAAACCAAAATGACTTGGTACTAAGAACATTGGATTTGAAATTAACAAAGTCATACTTTAACACCTTTGTTGATACTTGATTTTGACACCAATTACTCGCACGTGTAAAGTGCTAAGCGGACTTAGAAATCACAGGTGATATAAGAATATCAAATGAAATAATGAATGAGAAGCGATATTTAAAGTGGTTTGAATGCTCAAAAGCGAATCCTACGTCCACTGCTATTGTATTAACAAAAGGGTAAAATCAGGTCGCGTGCAGCAACCTAAGTTACAATTTAGAGAGAGAGAGAGAGAATGAGTGTAAGCTATTTTAGAGTAAAATTAGCCAATCTCGCAAATGAGAGGGAAGACATCTATTTATAGTCGGAAATTTCAAGGTAATGATTACAAATCTACAAGTGAGTAAGTGTCGTGCAAATCCTTCTTTGCGTCTCATTGGTTACCTGCCCGAGAGATATCCTCAACTTGCGTAGGGTTTGGACACGTGGCGATCTCTAACCACTCACAAACCTGTCACTTACCTATTGCACTGATAAGAACCATACCACTTGCGCCATTGTGCGACGTGGTCGCGCCTAGACGGTACAAAACCTTCCTGAGCCCTAATTGGCTCTTGCTGATGAGAGTCCACGTTAGTCCTAACTTTTCAGGCATAACAACCTTCAACATATGTTTGAAACCTATAAAAAAAATGCAGTTGAAATTATTAACGTTGAACCTAAAATTCCAAGGACTTGATATTAATGATTAATGTTGGAAAAGTAACCCGCCCGGCCCGACCCGCGGCGGGTTACTGATTTTGGTGGGTCGGTCCTAACCTGCCTGCAAACAAAGGCAGGTCGGGTTAGGCCCGCCATTTTTTGGGGCCCGACCCAGCCCGCCAACCTTAACCCGCTGGGTTAGGCTGCGGGTCGGGCCGGGTTAACTCCCTTTTTTTTTTTTTTTGTTTTGTTTAGTTAACTTTTCAAATGAATAATTAACAATTTATAAATGAATAAATGTAATTGTTTTTAGTTAATTTCTTTTCAAATATCAATAATTCAATTAAATTAATTTTTTTTTTTTTTTTGTTAACATTTCAAATATTAATTCAATGTTAATACATTAAAATTGTAATATAAGAAAAAATAAATTTATTCATTTATCAAAAAATAAAATAAGAAATTATAATAATTATTGCCTCGTTAAAAACCTCACCAATAAAAATCCAATGAGACAAAAACTTGGTAAGGAAAAAAGAGTGCAATAATTGACAATTAATTTACAAGTTACAATTTACAAAACAACTAATTTGGGGGTTGACTAGGACCTCACTCATCCGTATCATCTATATTACAAAATTAAAATGATTCTATTAAAGTATCGTCGACAACCTCGTATTGATCTTGATAGCGCGACCGTTCCCAATCTCGAAGACATGTGAGGACTTCAATCATTTTTTGTGAAAGTTTAGTCCTCATTTCATTTAAAATTCTTCCACTTGCACTAAATGTTTGTTCGGATGAGACGGTTGAGACAAGAACAACAAAAACATAGAAGGCAAGTCTTGATAATACCGGAAAAATACATTTTCTGGTTTTCCAATATTCTAAAACATCAAAGTTGGCTCTTTGTTGTGGATCTATTGGTGACATTTCGGGAGTTCCCAAATATTATTGAAGCTCGTTACTCTGTGACTGCATGACAAACAGTATATCCGTTGTTGCCGTTGGTGCTTCTGAAGAGGAGGTTGTACCTATGCTTCGGGGTCGGTTCCTCTTAGGTCTATTAAATGCATTACAGGTGTAGAAGTCTTCATTTGTTTCTTCTGATGCAACTTCCCTGTGTATTTCATGTCTTTGTGGGTTCTCATACCTGTTTTTATATTGGAAATATACCTCTGCAAGATAATTTTTTACCTCTCCTATTTGATTGGCAAATGTTACATTTTGTAAATTTTCAGTGAATGTCTCTAAACCATTTTCTAAACCTTCTTGTTTAATTCTAGGATCAAATATAGCACATAAACAATAAAGAAAAGGAATGGGTTTAAAATATTTAAAAAAAAAAATTCCATTACCTTTATGGGTTCTTTTAAATTTCATTGTTTTTCTTTTTTGTAAAAAACTCTGAAATTTTTATAATTGTATGTATTACCAATGGACTAGTAGGATAATACACACCAGAAAATTATAAAGTGGATTGGTAAAAAATTTTAAGAAAATAATGAAATACTTTAACTATTTGCCAATCATTTTCTACCAAATAATGAGGACCTCTATTATTTGCTACAAAATAACTAATTAAATTTGCATAAGGTAAACATGAATCAAGCATTAAAGAAGTACTATTCCATCTAACATGCATGTCTAATGCAAAAGTTCTAAGAGACATATTTGATTTTATACAAGCATCTTGAAATTCAGCATTTCTTTTATTACTACGAGTAATCCAAGCTAAAGAATCTCTAATTCTATCAATATTTTCTTTAATTGTTTTCATACCACTTTTTACAATTAAATTAATAATGTGATATACACAACGTTAGTGAAAAAACTTCAAATTGTTATAAAAAGAATAATTACTTTGAACAAAAATCTATAGCTGTAGTATTAGCACTTTCATTATCTAAAGTTAAACTTATCACTTTAGTAACAATATCATAATCTTTTAAAACTTCAACGATTTTATTATAAATTTGTTGACCACTATGATCCACATCCATTAATCTAAATCCTAATAAAGATTTATTTAATTTATATTCGTTATCAAAATAATGACTAGTTACACAAATATAATCTTGTTTAACTCTCCCACTCTAAATATCGGCAGTTAGAGCCACACTAACATGACAAGTATGTATTTTATTTTTTAATTCTAATTTCATTTTCCTAAACAATTTTATTAAATCATTTCTAGTTGCAGTTTTAGAATAATTTTTAAATCCTGGAAAAAATGAATTTTTAATAAATCTTTCAAATTATTTATCTTTAGTCATATTAATAGGTTGATCAGTTGCAGCAATATATAAAGCTAATTGTTCCCATATACATCAAAATTATAACATCAAGTAGTACCTATATTAGTTATTTGAGTTTGATTGGTTTCTCTATTTCCATGTTGAGCAATATGTTTATTAGCATGTCTTTTTAAAGTATTAGTATCATTACCTGAATCAGCTTTATAAACATTTCCACAATACTTGCATCTTGTTTTCTTCACTTGAACTCCATTTTCTGCTTCGTAAAACTTATCGAAATGCGTCCAAACGTCTTATGTGTGTCTGTCGTCGCTTTCGACAGTAGTTGATGAACCCGCTTCAGCTTGAGATGAAGTTGGACGAGGACAATGATTACGAGGACGACTTCTAGAACCATCGGGAGTTGTAGGTAGGGGTGTTCGGTTCTGGGTACCCTACACTTTTTGAAGGAACCGGAACCGGAACCGAAACCGACGGTTCCTTGAAATTTGGAA